TGCTGAAGTTAAGTCTAAACTGGCACTTTACTGCACTGTAAGTTTCTGGCTCAGGGGTGTAAAAAACCACCCTGACTGAAAGCAGCAGGTTACAGTGCTATAAAAGTCCAGTGCGAACCAGGCTGCAGAGCTGGGAGATACTCCTCTTGGTGAGGTGATTTACGCAGAGTGCTGGGTGAGCTCTCTCCCAGCTGTCATGCTATGGCCACACTTTGGCTATGTCTACACTGCAGGATTTTTGTGCAAGAACAGCCGTTCTTGTGCAAAAACTTGCAGAGTGTCTACACTGCATGCACGTTCTTGTGCAAGTAAATTTACAGTAAAGCATCAGAAAAGAGGGCTTCTTGCACAACAGTTATCCCTCTCCCCATGAAGAATAAATCCTCCCATGCAAGAAGGCAGCGTGAATAGGAACAGGGGTTTCTTGCGCAAGAAACCCCTATGGCTAAAATGGCCATCAGATCTTTCTTGTGCAAGGGAACATACACACTGCTATGGACGCTCTTGCACAAAAGCACATCTCTTGCGCAAAAGCACATGGCAGTGTGGACGTGCTGTTGCGCAAGAACTCTTTGCACAACACAGTTCTTGTGCAAGAAGCCTGTAGTGTAGACGTAGTCTCTCAATTTTAAGCACTGCCATGGCTGCACTTTAAACTTCTAAGTGTAGACAAAGCCTGAGAAATGTCCAGGAACTGCTAGAGAGGTGTGGGGGAAGTCAGCACTAATTTCAGGACCTAGTTCATAAGGTTGTGGAGTTCACACTGTCAACAGGGATGTCAAAAGCAGATCTGCAGCTGGACAACATGACCAGAAGCCCAAAATCAGGAACAGTGATCCACTTCAGCAAGCTAAGTATCTGGATCCTCTGAAAGTGATTGAGTCATTGTCCAGTTAGGCACCTCAACTTGAAGCTTCATATCTACCAATTTGCCTATCTCTGTCATAGAATCATAGAGCTGGAAGAGACCTCAGGAGGTCATCAAGTCCAACCCCCTGTCCAACGCAGGACCAATCCCAACTAATCCCCACTGTTTGTATGTGCTAATACTTTGGCTTTATTTAGGCTAAAATCTTAAGGCATTCACTTCCTCGTGCCCTTGAATAATAAAAGTCTTTTCTTGTCCTTCCAATTCTGAGTTCCACAGACTGGATACCTCTCCTCACCCTGTCACACAAGGTAGTGAGTAACAGTGCATCTGGATCTGCCACGAGTATGGCAATATATGGAGGTGGATATTTTACACTAGGGACCTGTCTCAGTAGGAGAGCCTGCTTAACTACCTCAGGCAAGAATGAGGTGGCCCTTTCTAAAAGTCACCAGAAAGGTTCCACTTCAGGGCAATTAAGAGACAATATCAGAGGTAGTAGCCTTTACTACCAGACCCAGGCAGACAGAGACACATGTTCACAGAGAACACAATATTCGCCTTCTGACAAAGTAAGTTGGTTTTGTTCTGTTCTGTTCGAATTTGGCTTGTAGCAGAGTGTACAATTAGATTAAACAAGACATGCAGGGAGGCTGTTTGGTGTTTTTAAATCAATTTTTCTCTAATGCTTTGTTCCAATTGCTAAATACAATTACTTTGTTTTAAGAAGGGTTGTGAATCACCATTGCTGGTTTCCAGAGGGAGGAAACGCAGGTGCCCAAAACTCAGTTGTACCTGTAAGGTGATAAAGTGGTTGGTACACATGAGGTAGTATAGCTGGGTACTAGTCTAAGGGGGAAGAAATGCCAGATTCATCCCAAGACAAGTAATATCAAAAAACCAAACACCAACAAGGGGCACAGAGAGATAACAGAGAAAGCACAAGTACAGCTAGTCCAATGCTGTGACAGTCTACTTATTCAATTTAGAATTGCCCTGGTTAACATGGCTTTCCAAATATCTCTATGAAGCCATCTTCTAGCACAGTCCCTTTTTATCCTAGCACATAAATGTCACTGCTCTTGGTTTCCTCTCTGTCCTTCAATCTCAACTCGCCGTAATTGTTAGAGAAATTTTGTTTCTGCAGCCCATGCCATCTGGAATAGCTTTGCTGTTTCTCTCTGGACTTCTCCATTGTCAATCTATTTTTAAATCACATTAGAAATGTCTCTTTTCTCCCTAGTTTATAGATCAAATAACAACTAATAGAGAAAATAAGAAATTGTCTTAAATGGTGTTAACTTATAAACTGTTTTACAGATATCTATGAAAACTGCTAATAAAAAGGACTGTGTTGTATATTGCTTTGTCACTGGCAATACATTCAAATCTGCTCTTTTAAACATATACTATAGCTTGGAGAATATCCTAAACTCCCAAAAACCTAAGAATCTTGCAATATGAAGACCCTAAAAAGCTGAACTAGTCTCAACATGCTAGAATGTCAGTAATTCACAACTATTAAATTGTATACAGGTTAGACCTCTCTGGTCTGGCACCCTGGGGACCTGACTGGTCCCAAATGAGGGAATTTGCTGGACATGGGGAGGTCCCCTACTACTGGACCCCCAGCCTGCCTCCCTTCCCTGATGCTGGCCCTAGCTGCCCGCCATCCCCTCCCCCCACAGCCCCACGCTGGTCTTCCATGCTGCTGTGTCCCCAGCAACCCGATTACCATGCCCCTAGACCCTGACTCCACTAGCAGGGCTGCCACATTCTCAGCCCCAGCCCTGCTATGGCTGCTGCTTCTCCAGCCCCACTTCCACTACTGGGGCTGCCACATCCCCAGCCCCACTACTAGGGCTGACGCAACCCCAGCTATGCTGCCGAGCTCCGAGCCACCAGTCCTTTTGCCACTGGGGCTCCCAGCCAGGAATCCCTAGTTCAGGAACACCTGTGGTCCTGCCAGACCATGGATTCTGCTGGACAAGGGAGTCCTGGGTTTTGGAGGTTCAACCTGTACCTTGGTAACACATTTATAAAATGTACTTTGATTCATATGACCAAAAGAACTGCCTAACACCTGCTTACATTACAAGTCATCCTGCATTATCTAGCATTAGCTGTCTTGCTCCAAAGCTCAAAAGTTTCCAAACATAATCAAATGGCTCTCTATAGGGTATACTTTAAGACTAAATGTAATGTACTGAAGACTTATTAGGTTTTTACAACAATGGAAATCCTCTTAATAAAATGTTCTTCAGAGTGACAACTGACAGTTACAGGTTCATCATAAAATTTCTCTACATTAAAAAAAATAATATGACGCTCAGTCTCCTACCAGGAATGATATATGTTTGTTCTCAGACTTCAGGGAGCCTTTTCTTTAAGCCTGGGTACACTAGCTGCATACAATGGCACAAGCTATATTCAAACCTTTTAGAAGTGAAAATGGATTATTTTATTTATTAATCTATTCTTCAGTATAACTGAATTTGCACAGGAGGAAAAAATAGGTCCAATCTCCATGCTGTAACACTTTTATTTTTATCAACTAATAGGCACAAGGATTAAGTAAAAAACAATATCACTATCTTTTGAATATTTCTCACAAAAGCTCTGAAATGTTTGTACAAATAAGCTACACTTTAAGCCCCCTAGACTGACTTTATTGTAAATGGTAAATCAGATCAGAACTAAGGAAGCTTCTCTGTTCCAGCCAATTATAAAAACACATTTTTCTGCCTACCTCATACTTATTCCATATGCCACCCATCATGGAGCGGGCAGGAAGCTTTCTGCCTCATACAAAGATCTGTGAAACAAGCAGTGATGCACAGAAACGGAAAGGAATATTTTTGGAACAACGAGCTCCAAAAAACAAGCATAAGGCTTTTCTAATTTGCTTCTTTCATGTAACAAATAAAGACCATGAGAGAGAGAGAGACACACACAGACTGAGGCTATGTCTAGGCTACATCCCTCTTCTGAAAGTGACGTAAATTAGACAGATCGAAATTGCAAATGAAGCCAGGATTTGAATTTCCCACCCTTCGTTTGCATAATGGCGGCTGCACGATCTTTTGAAAACAGGCATTTCGAAAGTGAAACCACCATCTAGATCAAAAAAAGAGGTTTTCAGGATCTTTTGAAAAAGGGTTTTTCTTTCAAAAGAACTGTGTCTAGACAGCAGTTTCACTTTTGAAATACCCGTTTTCTAAATAACCTGTGGCCACCATTATGAAAATGAAGCACGGGAAATTCAAATCCCGGCTTCATTTGCAATTTCAATCGGTCTAATTTACATCCCTCTTTCTAAAGAGGAATGTAGTCTAGACATGCCCTGACAGACACATAATTCAAAACCAACAAAAGGTCTGGTAGCACTTTATAGACTAACAAAACATGTAGACGGTATGATGAGCTTACATGGGCACACTAACTCTGTACAGACTAACTTGGCTACCCCCCTGAAACCTCATTCAAAGTTATGGTAAAGAGCTATTCAGTGGAGCCTAACTACCAAAAGCAACCTGAATTTTTGACACACACACACAAAGTTACACATACACTGGTACATTTGCTTCTCTCATAGCGATCAAAGGACTTGATCCAGTATCCACTGAAGTCAATAGTAGTCATTTAATGGGTTTTGGACTAGGTCCAAAAGTAACATGATCAAAAAATGAGAGGCCTACTATGTGCCATATTTTTCCCATATATAAAATAGACTGAAGAGTGGATAAAATAAATCTGAAAACTTATCTAATGGATCAAGTTTTGTGGGAGGGAATATACACATGTATACAGAGTCCATAACAGAGTTACAGATGGAAAATATAGGAATTATAAAAATGATGCTAAATCTTTTAAATGCAGGTACTAGAAAACACTGCATTGTGTTTTCCACATTACTTTTAAAACACTGTTTGCTAAACATGTGTTGTTTTCCGTCTCAAGAAAATATAAGTGGATATTTATGTTCCATCAGGTCTTATTTCTTTAAATAGACAGTAATGTGGATAAAAGGATTCACCTGTAGTGATTGCTTTGCAGAATCAGGAATCACATCTGTAAAGCTTTACAAGGAGAAGGGAGGAGAGAATTTCAAATAATATTGCAAAATGCTCACCAGTTTGCCACCAGTGATCCAACACTGGGACCTTGAAGACTTTTTTTGACCATTCCAATGTCTTCACATCACACCGTTCACCCGCTAAAAATAATGTTCGGAACCTAAACAAAATGGAACAAATTTTAAATGTTAACGCTTATCAAGGAAAGTGAAAACACAAAAGGAAAATATTTCTCTATGATCTTTAGAAACACATGCTCTGCAATATCTACAAAGATGCTGAAGAGGGGAAAGTGCTTCTGTTCCAACCTACTGAATGGAAATTGCATTCCTATGGATATTACTGCATGCTTATTAAAGTAACTTAAAATGAGCCTCTTTTTAAAAATGTGAATGCCTTGGGACATCAGGACCAGCTCAATCATTGACAGAAGAGTAAACTTATATACAAAATGTATTAAAATTAAAACATGTACAATGTAGAAATTGTGTACCCATGTGAGCCCAGAGATGCTGAGGTTTTCACAAGCGTAGAAAGGTGACCGAAGCATGGCAAAATGTCGAAGATTGAGAGTAGCCGTGTGTGTTATGTCAGCATATGCTCCTAAACAATGTAAGAAGACCTGGAGAGCTTTAGAAATTATCTGGCAGAAACCACAGTCACGGCTGAGAGTAATTCTTTGTTAGTAGAGATTTAAGCTGCCATGCTGATGAAGGGACCCTGGAGATGGAACAGTGTAAGTCCGGCTTTGGTGAAAGAAAGGCAGAAGGAGAAAAGTGAGCTGACCGCTGTTTGATTATTGAGTTCTCAGTGGTGAGCCTATTAAATAGGTTCAAAAAAAGAATCTCACCTGGTGACATGCTATAGTGGAAAAAGTATGGCCTAAGTGTGCTATATTTTGATAATAACGGAACATATGAAAATGGTGAAAGACAAAAAGGTTATACTAAGAAAACATGTATCAGAACAATATAAAGTATTAACAGCTAAAAAAATGCAGCCTGAGAAACTAGGTTGGATGATGATATACAGGAAGAAACTGAATAGGTTGTTATGTAAATAGGGAAAGGGGGGGAAGAAAGAGTTTTGCCAAAAAGTAAAGGCAGGCTTTCATTTTGCTAAGAACAAAAGTCAGTGGAGGGAGAATGGAGGAAGTTTAAAGAATGTTTAATCAAAGCAGCACAGATAACATGTGGCACAATGAGTAGTAAGGAAATATGCTTTCAGAGAGAAAAAGATGGTCGTGGATGTCTGATGTAAAAGAAGTTAAAAAGAAAGAATGAATAATTCAGAAATTTTGATCATGAGAATAAAAAATGCAAGCAAAAAATGAGGCTAACAAGGCAGTTGCTAAGATAAGAATGGCAGCTGAGGAGGGATGATATTGAAAGCTGGAGGAAAATTGTCATAGGAAATTGGTTTGGAGGCCTGTCAAATAGAGAAACAAAGTAGCACAAGATATGAAGAAATGTTTGTGTGAGAATACTTGATCTCAGAATGAGCCTCACCCGAGGGAAATCAAGCAAATTGCCACATAGAGTAAAAGGTGAATACAATAATGGGCAGGAGAGCTAGGCTTAAGCGATGTTAAAGAATTGGAGTGCCAATCACGGCCCCATCTCCCTAGCCACTCCCCCCACCAGGCTTCTGCATTCAACCAGCTGAGCTGAGGGCTCCCAGTAACAATGGCGTCCCTACCTTCCCAGCCACTCCCGCCGCCCACGCTAGACTTCCAGCTGGAAAAGCAGAAAATACCGGACATTGCACGTCTGGTATTTTCTGAATTTTTTTACTGGGTAGAGAGCACAGAAAATGGACTGTCCAGTTAAATACTGGACATCTGGCGACCTCATTTTCATAGGCTGTTAAATGAGAAGAGACAGCTGCAAATGGAAGCACCAACAAATTATGGGAACATCTCAAAAGATATTCACCTCTACAGAGGAGGCAGAAGCAGCATTGAATAAGAAGAAACAATGTGAATATAAGAATTGTTGTTATGATCAACTAAAGATACTGGAGTAACACAGCTTCATAGATTACTATGTGATTTATTAGGCCAAGCTAGGATACCAGATGACAGAAGAATGGGATTGACTGTGCCTCTCTGGAAGGATAAGAATGATGCAAATTATTCACACACCTATCAAGGCATCATCCAGTTAAGTCAGCTTCTCAAAGCCCTTAAGAGAATTTTTGAAGAAAGACTGATACAAGGTACAAGAACCAATAGAAAAGGAGCAACATGGCTTGAGGAAGAGAAGGAGTACTATAAATATAATATTTGCAATGACATAGAAATGTGAAAGACTGATAAATGGAGGATGTAATTACTATGCTGTACTGATGAATCATGAGAAAGCATACATCTTGGTTCCTTGGGAGTTGACATTTGGAATACTGAGATGGATAGAAAAGGGACTTAAAGAAGTAGAGATGACAAATGAGCTATGTGAAGGATCATGAACTAAGGGGGCAATAATACATGGAATTTCATAGAGTTCTGAGGTGGTGTGGAAGACAAGCCAGTATGCCCAATCCACTTCTTCTAATTATTGAGTTAATTAGTAGAAGCAGCCAGGCTAAAATCACAGACAAAATGGCCCTTTTGGCTGATAACAAAGAGGAACTAGTGAATATGATATCAGAGTGGATATTTGGAGGTAGCTACTAAGAAAATAGAAGAAAAGGGTGAGTACCAGTTCACAAACTTGTTTTACATCAATTTGGATGACAAAGAGTCCAGAAGTTAGAGCCACAGAATAGATTGGAGAAAGTCATCTGGTCAAGGCACAGTCTTACAATGGTGACAAATTTGCTTGGACAGGCAAACTTTGACATGATTTTCCAAAATCTCCCATGGTTGATGCTTTGATCAGATTGAGAAAGGCCAAATACAACCCCTGCTGGTGTTCTTGACATTTTTCCAGAATCTGCCTGCCTGCAAAGATCAGGTCAGTGGTTCTGCGTGATAGTCTGAAGCCACACTGGTACTCTGTAAGTAGTTCCTCTGCAGGAGGGAGCAAGTGCTACAGTAAGATTCTTGCATGCATCTTTCCCAATAATGGAGAGAAGGACAATGCCTTGACAGTTGCCGCGGTTGGCCCTATCTTCTTTTTTGAAAATTTTGACAATGTAAACATTACATAAGTCAGCAGGGATTTCTTCAATGCACCAAATTTTGAGCAGCAGCAAATGAAGCTTGTTAGTCAGTGTTTCTCCTCCCATTTTCAGAACTTCAGCTAGTATGCCATTAGGACCTGGTGCTTTATGATATTGCATTTGTGTACTTGCTTTGTGAACTTCCTCCTTCATTTAATTACCTTTCTGGGTTCACAAGAACTTCCCAGATTGGGTGTGGAGGGATGGAGTTGATAGTGTTGTCAGTCACAGATAATTCTTGATTTAAAAGCTTTTTGTAGAGTTCCTCCCAATGCTCTTTATTATCTTAAGGGTACTACCATCTCTGGATCTCAGCAGTCTGAGGCCATATGAGCTGTTCAGAGTTCTTGTCTCACAAAAAACTCCACATATCATATTTGTCAGTGAATGCTTGGACTTATTTTGCTTTGTCCTCCAACCATTTCTTTTTGATTTCTCAGATCCTCTTTTAACTTGAGCTTTGAGTTGATGGAAAGATCCATGTGACACAATGATGGATGGCTTTGCCAGTTGAAGAAAGCATTTTACTTCTGGCTCAAAAGTAGGGATGTCAGCGTGTAGTCGACTATATGATTAACTAATAAGCCTGGGCTTATCGACTAACATCCACTCTCCCCTCTTGCTGCCTCTCTATCAGTCAAATAGTATCAACAAGGCTCACAGGCTACCTTCCACAGCCTAATGACTTAACTAACAAACCCAATAATGGAGGTGCTAATTGTTCTTATCAGCCTCTTGTAACTATTTGAACCATCTACTCACTGTCTCTCTCTCTCCTTTTTTCTTCTTCTTCTTTCCCCCTCCTTTTTTTCTCCTTTCTCCTCCCCCCCTCCCCCCTTCCCTTATATATTCTTGGATCTGGACTTTCCCCCTCCCCCTTCCCTTATATATTCTTGGATCTGGACTTCTAACACGCCAGTCATCTGAAGATGTGGGTTGTTCCCACAAAACCTCATGATATCATCTACAAGCTAACACACCAGTCATCTGAAGATGTGGGTTGTTCTCACAAAACCTCATGATATCATCTACAAGTTTTGTTAGTCTTTAAGATGCTACTTGTTGTTTCTTAAGTTTTTCTATTTTAAGGTTGGTTTTTCAAGTTTTCTAACCTTAACTGAACTACTCATTTGAAAATGGGATTTCTTGCAGCTACTAAAGCTAACCCCTTTCCCAATGTACATGAATAATTTTAAAGCAGATCTTCTTGGTCATATATGAAATAAAAATAATACTTTTAAAATGTGTACATTCTGAGTCTCACAGGAGAGAGAAAGCCCGGGCTAAAAGCAACCTGTAACTTTCAAAGGCAAACAACAACAGAAAAGATATGTATAACATTTGAAACTCTATTGAAGGTTACGTAGTCTAAGAATTTACAAATCATTTAGCTTTCCAAATAGTACAATAAAGTATCACACTTATTATAGCCACTTCTTTGCTGAATAATACGATGCATGCACATTACATATTCTCAGTTGATGGCATATGTACTTGACATTACATGTTAGAATTCTATTTAACTGGAGGGATATTCTCTAACAAACTGCAGCAGAAATGGATGCACCTTTTGGCACTAGCAATTGGTGTTATCTGTATTATTATTAGTAGCAGTAGTAAATTAAATAGTGCTATGTAACCATATATTAAACCCACACAATCTTTTAACATTATGTTTTCTCGTGTGCTTTGTCAGAAGCTGTCACCCCTCATGAAGCACTACAAATGTATTTCACTTCCCCTTCAGTATGGTAAAGTCTTGAAGGTGAAATGAAGTGGTTTTTAACTAGGCCCCTACACAAATTATCATTTATGATCAGCACCAGACCAGTCCTGAATAAGGGGATTTGCCAGACCAGGGGAGGGAGGTCCCTCTCAACATGGCCAGTGCTGTCCTGCTGCCCCCGGCTAGGGCTCCAACCTAGTCCCGCTGCTGCCTGCTAGGCCATGGATGCCACTGGGGTTGGAGCTCCACAGCCGGGGATAGAGTTCTCTGGC